CTCGATCCCGGGACTCCAGGATCATGACCTGAGTCGAAGGCAGTCGCTTAACCAACTGAGCCACCCAGGCGCCCCGATTTTGGATATTTTTATACTAAACCTAAGTGAGCCTTTGAGATTTCTGAACTATTCAGTGATTAAAGGGATCTCTTAACAGAAATAAATTCAGCAAAACTTAAGCAGAAAATATTATATTAAAAAGAGTGAAAGACATTCAGATTATCCAGAAATGCTGGCACAATGATCTCTTGAGACTTCACAACCAAAATCAATATCCAACATGTGCCTAAGAATGGTTTCTATGATTCAGACCATTCATAGCTCAAAAATCATATGATGGGCTCCTCTGAAAACAGGGTGAATTGCAACAAATTTTTATTTATTATTCTTGTGCTGTTTGCTTACTGGATAAAAACATCCCTTGCTTTTTGTGAGATCTACCCCAAAATAAAAGTTTGAAGTTAAATAATATAATGGGAAGTATGAATATATGCCTTTCCCATACTTGAGAGTCAGACAAGGAAGTGACTATTTAGTACTAGCATAGACATCAGAAATTTTGTTTTCTAAGACATGTCAGGGGAGAAGTCAGACAGGAAAGAATTGGTAATGTTCTATAAACTTTCTGTTGAAACAAGAGTCCTGTTGAAACAAGTCTTCTTAGTTTTTTTTTTTTAATGGTCTATTCTTTGTGATGAATATATAAGAAATATACATTTCAAAATATACAAATTTGTTTATCTATTTAAAACCTGTATTAAATTAAAAATTGGGGGCACCTGAGTGGCTCAGTTGTTTAAATGACTGACTCTTGACTTTGGCTCAGGTCATGATCTCAGGGCGGTAAGATTGAGGCTTGTGTTGGGCTCTGCACTGAGTGTGGAGCTTACTTCTGATTCTCTCCCTCCCTCTCCAACTGTCGCCCATCCTCTACTCACACACACCTGTTCTCTCTCTCTCTAAAAAAATAAAAATAAATAAATAAAATAGCTCTAATAGAAAATTTCAAGAGTATAACACAGTTTGTATCACTAACTATATTCACATTGCTGTACATGAGATCTTCAGAACTTATTCACCTTGCATAATGGAGATTTTACAGCCTTTGACACAAATCTCCCCACATTTCCCCTTCCCATCAGCCACTGACAACTGCCATTTAACTTTCTACTTTTAAGAGTTTGATCATTTTAGATACCACCCACCAGTGTAATTGGGCACTGTTTATATTTTTGCATGTGACTCATTCTACTTAGCATAATGTCCTCCAGTCTCATATATGTTGTTAAAAATGGAAGTAATAACTTTTTCAGGGCTCTTATATATTCCATATTTATCCATTCCTTTGTTGATTAACTCTTAGGTTGTTCACATCTTAGATATTGTGAATAATGCTGCAATAATCATACGAGTGCACATATTCTTCAAAGTATGGATTTTACTTCCTTTGGGTATATATCTATATATACCTGGGATTGCAGTATCATATATTATTTCTATTTTTAATTATTTAAGGAACTCCCATGCTCTTTCATATAGTGGCTTTACCAATTGACATTCCCAGCAGCAGTGCACAAGTATCTCCTTTTCTCTACATCCTGAACAACACTTATTATTTTTTGTCTTTATTATAAGAGACATGGCTCATTTAATTGGCAGGCAGGATAGGGCATGACCCTTGCCACTGTCCATGCTATTAAGCTGGAAGGAGAATGTAAACCTTGGTGTTCAACATCCTCTCCATGCCAAGGACAGTTTCAGCACCTCCCCTGCTATTTGTGGAAAATTAAGTCCTGAATCATTTGTGATGAGGAAAACAAAGGCAGGAAGAATATAACCACAAAGGAATCATCTTACAACATGTGGCCCACTAATATACACCTAAGACATGCAGAAGATGACATTCCTAAAGGGTCTCATGACTAATGGTTTACTACATAGTGAATGGTAACCTGATCTTGACAAAAATCAGACCTCCAAGGCCCTTGTAAAGCTCACTTTCAACACACAAATTCCTTAGAGATTTACTTATCTTTAAGTCAAACTCACTAACAAATATATAATCAGTCACTCCTCACAATCACAAGTATAACTCTTTCTGCCCATGAGTCCTGTCCCTACTCTTTAATAAAAGCAACTTTTTGCACTGAAAAAGACTCAGGAATTCTTTCCTAACCATCTGCCTGATGGTCCCACATCATTTGACATTCTATTTGCGCTTTTAAGTTGTGGGTTCTTTCTGTGCCCCAGGGCAGACAAATCTGTTCAAGGACCCTTAGTAGTATCCCTGTCCATAGCATTTCTCAGCTTGGGGGGAAGGTCCTTTTGTTACCAAGTCTCCATCTCTCTTTCCATTCTGTATGTGATCTCTCTATTTTTTTAAGTGTAGATGCTGTTCACTCAGCCCTCAGTTCTTCAGTAGGAATTGTTCTATATATAGGTGTAGATTTCATGAGGAGAGGAGGAGGTAAGTTCAGAGTTTTCCTGCATCTCTCTGTTGAACAGAACTTGAGGCTTTTTTTCCCCCCAAATTAGTCATTGTGGGTTTGAGGGAAAATGGTAGATTAGGAGGACCCTAAGCTCACCTCATCCCATGCATACTACTAGGTAATACTTACATCATTGTAAATAATCCACAAAATGGCCCTAACATTGCCAAAACAAACTCTACAACTAAATGTAAAGAAGAGACCACATCAAATAAAGTAGGAGGGCCAAAGGTGCTGTTGGGAGCTAAATAGACCCACAGGACTGTCTGTGTGAGGGAGGGACACTGAGGGCACTTATAGGGGAGAGAAAAAGACCCATACATATGGACAGTCCACAGAGGGAAAACAAATACCCATAATATTTGGTTTTGAAAACTAAAGGGGCCGGATTTTGTGAGCTCTTACAACCAGCAGGACTTAAACTTAGAACTTTAATAATCAGTGGGATCAGGTCTGGGAGAACAAGTAGGGTGAGAAGAAGCTGATTCTATGCCTTTGAAGAGACCACACAACAGACAGACCAAAGAGATACAGCACAGAAGAAACAGTTTGCAAAACACTTGGGGCATATGGAAGAGATATTAACTTAATGATCTCAGAGCATGTTCTGGACGGCCAGAGATCCTTGGGAGATTTCTCCAGTAAAAAACAACAACAATAACAACAACAACAACAATAACAACAATAAAACTTTGAAGGGGCCTTTCCTTACTCCGTTCCCAGCATAAACAAATAGTCTCATGCAGGCAAACAGGACTTTTCTATCTGCTACCTGACCTCATAACAGTGTTGCAGTGCCCCTGCATGCAGTCTGTGCATCTGCCTCCTCCAACTCCATTGGCCTTGCTCTCTCCAGCTACTGGACTCCTCTCATAGAAGACCTGCACACAATCCTTGCTGACATTACACATCTGTCTCAAACACTTTGTGAATCCGTCACCCACAATACAGTCTAGGCTGGAGCCCATCCATAGTGTTGCCACAGCCTGGCAGTGTCAAGCGGCCATGACAAGTGCCAGCACAACTCCAGAGTAACCCCTGCCCTGGGGAGAGGGAAAGATAGTGACACGGGCTAGTTAAACTCATAGTTCAGGAATGTATGTTGGCATATAGTTGGTTTGACTATTGGGCCCACCCACCAGTGAAAGTTTCTCAGGGGACAATGCAGGGAAAGTTTCGTGCTATTGTATCTCCTTAAAATGCCTGGTACATCTCAATTCATGGCCAAGGAGGACCACACTGTCTTACTAACACCATAGGTACCAAACACTGCCCACAACAAGAAAGACAGCCACTGCTGAAACCTGAGATGAAGGGAAATGTGGCTCAGTCACAACACTAGGTGCATATAACACACATAAGAGAAATGCTTGAAGCACCAGGCACTTGTGAACAGGGATCACTGCACCGCAAGGCACTGCAGGACCTCTTCTCCATAAGACCACTATTTCAAGAACAGGAGACAAAGATGGCTTTCTTAACACAGAGACACAGACACAGAGATTTAGACAAAATGAGACAAAGAAATATATCCCAAATGAAAACCAGAACAGAATCACCAAGAGAACAAAATGAAACAGAGTAAAGTAATATGCCTAAAAAGGAATCTAAAGTAATGATCATAAAGATATTAACGGGATTTTACAGGAGAGTGAGCACAGCAGGAGACCCTTAACAAAGATATAGAAAACAGGAAAAAAAAAAAACAGAGATGAAGAATATTCTAACTGAAATTTAAAACCCAGATGGAATAAACAACATGCAAGAGGAAGCCGAATGAATCAGCAAACTGGAGGACAGAATAATAGGAAGTAATCAAGCTGAGCAGCTGAGAAAAAAATGAGAATAGACTTAGGGAACTCGGCAATAACATCAAGTGCAATAATATCTGTGTATAGGGATCTAAGAAAAAGAAGATGGAGAAAAGGTGACCAAAAATGTTTTTGAAGAAATAATATCCAATGACTTCCCAAATAAGGGGAAGGAAACAGAATTCCAGATCCAGGAGACACAGAGAACCCTCAGTAAAGTCCACACCAAGATGAATACTATTAAAAAGGCACAAAATAGTAATAAGTAGAGAATTTTAAAAGCAATAAGAAAAACGAAAATAGTTACATACAAGGGACACCACATCAGGCTATCAGCTGATTTTTCAGCAGGAAAATAAATAAATAAATGCTGGCCAGAAGGGAATGACAGGATATATTCAAAGTGTTGAAAGGAAAAAAAATGTGGCCAAGAATACTATATTCATCCACAAAGGATATCATTTGGAATACAAGGAGAGATAAATAATTCTCAGACACAAAAAAATTAAAGGAGGATGTGAGGGCGATCTCGCTGCGACATCTGGCACCCCATTGATTGCCAGGGTTGATTTAGCTGATCTGGCTGGCTAGGTGGGTGTCCCCTTCCTCCCTCACCGCTCCATGTGTGTCCCTCCCAAAGCTGCGCGCTCGGTCGAAGAGCACAACCTTACCCGAGAGAGGAGGAATGTTCTTTGGTCAAGGGTATACGAGTAGCTGCTCCCCTGCTAGAACCTCCAAACAAGCTCTCAAGGTCCATTTGTAGGAGAACGTAGGGTAGTCAAGCTTCTAATACTCCAGACACATCCAAATGAGGCGCTGCACGTGCCAGTCTGCCTTTCTAAAAAAAAAAAAAAAAAAAAATTAAAAAAATACATGACCACTAAACCAACCCTACAAGAAATGTGAAAGGGGACTCACTGAGTGGAATGGAGAGACCACATTTAAGAGTAAGAAAAGTAGGAAGCACAAAAGCACTAAAAATAAGTATATTTCAAAAAAGTCAGTCAAAGGACTCACAAAATAGAAGTATGTAAATTATAACACCATATACCTAAAACATGGATGGAAGGAGAGTAAAGAATGGATTCACTTAAGCAATCTTACCTTTATATAGACTGCTATATGCAGAAGAATTTCCGTACAAACCAAATGGTAACCACATATCAAAAGCCCATGATAGATATGGCAAAAACAAAGAGAAAGGAATTCAAGTATATCAGTAAAGAAAGTCAGCAAACTGTGAAAGTTGTTAAACAAGAGAAGAAAAGATCAGAAAAGTACAGCCAAAGAGGAAGATGGCAGTGGAGTAGGAAGAGCTTAACTTTGCTTTGCCCCATGAACACAAGATAACTATGAAATCATCATAAATGCCCAAGAAATAAACCTGAAGACAGAGCAAACTCCACAACAAAAAGGAGACGAAAGTCCTCATTGAAGAAGGAAGTGCAGAGACATGATTTAGTGCAGAAATGGGTGGTGGGTGCTGCAGATGAGAGGAAGCTGTGGTCATGGGGAAAGGTGAGAGAGGTGCACACACTGTAACTCACAAGGAGAAAGTTTCCCAAGGCTTTTGGCTTAAAACACAAGAGGGGCTGAATATCATGAGTTCTTGTAACCAGTGGGGCTTATAGCCTGGAGTTTTTAAGGTCAGTGGTCTTGGCTGATAGAGCTTGGAGTGCTCCTGAAAAGAAGGCATGCAAACAACCCATGGGCAGACTGCATGGAAACAGTGATCTGGGGAATGCCTGGGGCACACAGAGGGAAAATTATTCATTTTTCTTAGAGTGCATCCCTGAGAAGCAGCATTCATGGAGACACTTCTCTAGGAACAAAGGATCTGGCGGGCACCATTTCCTCCCCATTGCTCAACATAAATACAGAGACATCTGTGGGAAGCAGCACAACTCCAACACTTGCTACCTAATTTGCTTCCACCAAACCCCACACCCCTCTGCTCTGTGGGACTGTCCATCATTCATGCTTGTCTTAGTCCTATCACAGTGGCCCCCTCACAGAAAACTAACACAAATCCCTGTCCATTTCATGTTTCTCCACACAGAGTTCTATAAGACCTTGGATCTAGTACAAATGGTGTCAGGTCTCATTTTATAAGCAGGCAAGAACAAACCTAGTTCAAACTCACCATATTCAGACCCTGGGACCAAATAGTGCCCACATCAGTGAAGAAGAGACTCTGCAGACAACTGGCATAAAGGATAAGTCGGCCAAAACACAACAGCAGAATAAATTTAACCAAAGAGGTTAAAGTCCTGTGCTCTGAAAACCATAAAACACTGATTAAAGAAATTGAAGATGATGCAATGAAATGAAAAGACATCCCATGTTCATGGATTGGAAGAACACTTTTAAAATGTCTATAATACCCAAAGCAATCCACACATTTAATACAAACCCTATCTATCTATCTATCTATCTATCTATCTATCTATCTATCTATCATCTATCTATCTATCTATCATCTATCTATCTATAATCAGTTAATAACAATCATAAAGGAAGGAATCAAGAGTAACACCATAATAGTTGGGGACTTTAAACCAACACATGAATGGACAGATCATCCAAACAGAAAATCAATAAAGAAACTGTGGCTCTGATTGTATTTTGGACCAGATGGTTTTAACAGATACATTCAGAACGTTACAACCTAAAAGAGAAGAATACACATTCTTTCCAAGAGCACATGGAACACTATCCAGAATAGATCACATATTATGTCACAAATCAATTCTCCACAAATTCAAAAAGATCAAAGTCCTTTAAGACCACAACTCCATGAAACTAGAAACCAAGCACAGGAATAAATCTGGATAGAGCTCAGATAAATGGAGGACAAATATTATGCTTCTAATCAATGAATGTCTCAACCAAGAAATCAAGGAAGAAGTCATAAAACCAATGGAGACAAATGAAAATGAAAACATAATGGTCCAAAATTTTGGGGATGCAGGAAAAGCTGTTCAAAGAGCAAAGTTTACAGCCATACTGGTCTACCTTATGCAGTATGAAAATTCTCAAATAAATAACCTAAACTTACATACAAAGGAGGGAAAATATAAAAACAAACAAACAAAAAGACCAGGAGAAGGAAGGAAATAATAAAGATTAGAGCAGAAATAAAGACATAGAAAGTAAAATAAACAAGCAAGCAAAAAATAGAACAGAACAATAAAATCAGAAGCTGGCTCTGAAAAATCAATAAAAGGGATAAATCTTTACCAGACTGAAAAAAGAGAGAGAGAGAGAGAGAGAGAGAGAGAGATGTAAACAAAATCACAAATGAAAGAGGAGAAATAAATCTATACCATAGAAATACAAAGGATGAGAAAAGAATATTTTAAAAAATTACATACCAACAAATTAGACAACTTAGAAGATATGTATAAATACCTAAACACACATAAACTTCCAAGACTGAATCAGGATGAAATAGAAAATTTGAACAGACTGATTACCAGCAATGAAATCGAATCAGTAATCAGAAAATGCCAAAGCAACAAAAACTCAGGACCAGACGGCTTCATAGGTGAATTCTAACAAACATTTAAAGAAGAGTTATTACAAATTGTTCTCAAACTATTCAAAAAAAATAGAAGAGGAAGGAAATTGTCCAAATTCATTTTATGAGGCCTGGATTACCCTAATAGCAAAATCAGATGAAGACAGAAAAAACAAACAAATAAACAAAAAACCTACAGGCCAATATCTCTGATGAATACAGATGCAAAAATCATCAACAAAATATTAAAAATCACAATCCAACAACATATTTAAAAAATTATTCACCATGATCAACTTGGATTTATTCTGGGGGTGCAAAGGCAGACAATATTTTCAAATCAATGAATGTGATGCATTACATCAATAGGAGAAAGGATAACATCCAAATAATCATTTCAATAGGTTCAAGAAAGCGTTTGGCAAATTACAACATCAATTCATGATAAAAACCCTCAACAAAGTATGTCTCAGGGAAACATAATGCTACCTAATAAGGGTCATCTATGAAAAGAAACACAACTAAAATCATACTCGAGTGAAAAAATGAAAGCTTTTCACCTAAGGTCAGGAAGAAGATAAAGATCTCCACTCTCACACTCCACATAGGATTTGAAGTCCTAGCCACAGCAACAAGACAAGAAAAAGGAATAAAAGACGTACAAATTGGTATGGAGGGAGTACAAACATAAACTTTTACAAAGGAATTGATTCTATATATTGAAAACCATAAGGACTTTATCAAAAAGCCCCTAGAACTGATAAAAGAATTCCATAAGGTGGCAGAACACAAAACAACTGCACAGAAATCCACTGCATTTGTATACACCAATAATAAAGAAACAGAAAGAGAAATGAAGAAATTAATCCCACTTAAAATTGCATCAAAAAATCATATAATAACTAGGAATAAACTTAACTAAGGAGGTGAAACACCTGTATCTGAAAAATATAAAATATTAATGAAAGAAATTGAAGGTGACACAAATACATGGATAGTCATTCCATGCTCATCAACTGGAAGAGCATATATTGTTAAAATGTCTATAACTACCAAAGCAATCTACACATTTAATAAAACTCCTATAAAAATAACATTTTTCACAGAATTAAAACAAACAATCCTAAAATTTATATGGAAACGCAAAAGACCCTGGATAGCCAAAGCAACCTTGAAAAAGAAAAACAAAGCTGGAGGTATCACAATTCCAGATTTCAAATTATATTATAAAGCGGCAGTAGTTAAAACAGTATGGTACTGGCACAAAATATACACATAGGTCAATGGGACAGAATATAAAACCCAGAAGTAAACCCACAATTGTATGGCCAATTAATATTTGACAAAAACAGGAGAGAATATCCACTGGGAGAGGACAGGCTCTTCAACAAATGGTGTTGGGAAAACTGAACAGCTGCATACAAACATATAAAACTGGACAAATTTCTGACACCATCTGCAAAGAAACAACTCAAAATGGGTTACAGACCTACATTTGAGACCTGAAATCATAAAACTCCTAGATGAGAGCATCAGCAAGAACTTCTTGGACATTAGCCACAGCAACATTTTTCTAGATGTGCAATGAGGCAAGGGAAACAAATGCAAAAATGAAGCATTGGGATTATATCAAAATAAAAAAGCTTCTGCACATGCAGGAAACCACCAAGAAAACTAAAAGACAGCCTACTGAATGAGACAAAATATTTGCAAATGAAATATCTGATAAATGGTTATTGTCTGTAATAGATAAAGATCTTACATGACTCAACACCAAAATAAATTAATAATTCCATTAAGTAAATGGGCGGAAGTCTAAGCAATATAATCCAGTCAGAAAAAGACAAATACCATGTGATTTCAGTCATATGTGGAATTTAAGAAACAAATAAAATGAGGAAAGTAAAAAAAAAAAAATGGACACAACACCAAAAACAGACAAGTCTAGAAAAAAAGCAGATTGTTACAGAGGGGAGGTGGGTGGGGGGATTGGTGATATAGGTGTAAGGGATTAAGAGTACACTTATATTGATGGGAACTGAGTTATGTATAGAATTGTTGAATCACTATATTGTACAACTTCAACTAGCATAACACTGTGTGTTAACTATAGTGGAATTAAAATTTAAAAAAATAATAAAATAATAAATACATAAATAATAAATACATAACAAAAATAAGTATGTGTGATCATTGATTAAGAGCTGTGTGATTTATGAATAATTCAATTGTACCAAACACAGAAATTAAATGTAAACAGAACAGGATTGTCTTTATGTTCCATTCCCCTCTTTCATGTCTTAGGATAAATCAAATGCCATGACTCCACAAGATTGGTTTTGTGGTGTTTCATGGGGAGTTCTGTGGCGCTCAATCCTCACCAATTTTGATGCACTTTGGGGGAACATAGGGAATATTTTAGGATCGCTTCACCCTTTGAGTTTTCTGAGGCATAGTAGCAATGTGAGTGTCTCACTCAGTACTTCTATGACTGAATATAGACTTGTCTTGACCTCTCCACACATAAGGATTGCGTCAGGATGATGCAGGAGTAGGAGCTTCTGGCGACATCTCTACACAGAAACGTGGATGTAAATAACCCTCCACCCACAGACATACGATTCTGAGAGTTCTGGATTCCACATACAAGCAAGGGGTGAGAAAAGGCAAATTGGAGAGAGTAGAAAGGAGAATTTCACTTCCCCCATAGGGAAAAGAGAGTCAAGTGAGCATCCAAGATCACTGTGGACACAAGTGTTGAGCCCACGTTGTGTTACATTCTTGCTGGCCTATGCAAAATTTCTGGCTAAATTGACTGCTAAAAGACTTTCCTTCTCAAAAGTGACTATTTCTTCAAATAAACACCAGTGCAATGGTACAAGGCTTACAAAGTGTCGGGGAAACATGACACTAGCAAAATAAAATAAAGCACAAGTGACTGACCATAAAGAAATGAAGATCTAAAAACTATCTGACAAAGAATTCAGAATATTTACCTAAATGAGAACAGAAAAATACCTAAGCAAAATCAGTAAAACCATATTTGAGCAAAATGATATGTTTCACAGAGATTAAAACCATTAAAAAAAAGCCAAATGGAAATTCTGAAAAACACAGTGACTGAAAACACAGTGACTGATGTGAAAAAAAAAAAATCAAGAGTCTGAACAGACTTGATCAAGCACAAGGAAGAATCAGTGAGCTCAAAGACAGAATACTTGAAATTCTCCAGTCGGAAGAGTAAAAGGAAAATAGACTTAAAAAGATCTTAAAAGAAAGCCTACAGAATTTATGGAATCCCATAAGAAAATCTATACATGCATCATGAAAACCCCAGAAGGAGCAGAGAAGGAGAAAGGGGCAGAACTCTTAGTTAAGAAAACAACAATTAAAAAACATGAAAAATTAAAACAAAACAAAACAAACAAACAAAAACAACTTCTGAAATCTGGGGAAGGAAATAAGCATGTAGATCCATAAAGCTCAAGGAACTCAAAATAGATTGGATATAGAGAAGGTGGTATGGAGGCACATTATAATTAGGAATTGAAATAACTTGAAAATATTATACAATTTTTTTAAACTGGGCCATAGTTACCTTTTCTCAAGTAAAAAGTGTACTTAATTCAGTTACTGGAAGCCAGGAAAAAGATAAGTACATTTAAAGCATTTTCTGCAATGAAATTGCATTGTTAAACATTGTTTGAATATTATTGCTTCAAAAGGAGTAATATAATTGTTTTCATTATTTAGTGTATTGAGTAAAAATTGTTTTATACTTTAATGTTTTTTTTGCAACAGAATAGAAAAAAATTGAAAAGATGTCACACCTACAATAAATTAAAAATAGCTCTCATATTTGTGATATTTTAAGGATTTCTATGTTTTTATTAAACTAACACATTCAATTGTACTATTAAATTTGTTGGCCAATATAATCAAAATTGGGAAATAAATTAATATCTACAGACACATAATTACTGTGAACTTACTGGGCAAAAATATATAAATATATGATACATAACTTGAGAGACACAATGATATCAGAACAAACTGAATAAATATAATTGTTTCTTTAACCACTGAATTGACCCTTAATACACCTGTGAAAATATCTAAAGAATGCCTTCCCCAACCTTGGCTTAGGTCTATTTGGGGCTATTAGTAACTTAACCTGTATTGTCCAAGTCTCAGTGGACATTCCCAAGTGAATTCAAAAGAAAAAACAAAACAAAACAACTAACCAAACAAACAAAACAAAACAAAGCAAAAGCAATACAGTCAATCTCCAGTTACAGAAAGCATAGAATCATTGTTGCTGCTTCCTTTCTGGGAGGTATCTAAAATGTCAAAGTGTAGAGGTGAAAAAGAATATGTACACTTGTTTGGAAAATATTTGAAGATGTTTACTCATAAAATGACTTTGTTTATATGATGATGACTGGACCACTGTCAGCTACCCAAGCCAGTGTGTTTGTGAAAGTGCAAAGATAATACAAAGTACTCCAGTAACATTGTTTTCTTATTTTTAATAATCATACAAGAAGTGAACACCTCAGCAAGTGCTTAAGAGAACTTTATTAAGTATTTAAGACTACTGTGTATAATAAGGAATAGATACATTTAGGCATCTGTTTAACCAGAGAAGTCTATTTTCTTTATTTGAGTGAAGTAGGTTTAAACAACAAGGAAATAATTTATGTTAGAGTATGTATCATTAAAGAACAAAGACATGGTTTGGGCAATTGAACACGTGTTCATTTTTTAAGATATTAAGTTTTGTAAAACATAAAATGTGTTCTACAATTCTGAGAATTAATCTGATTGTGAATGACTGTGAAATGATAATGAAACACAGTAAAAGGGTTAATAAAGGCTACTGCTGATATCATCTATGAACTACTGCTCTGGATTTATGATGAGTATTGCATGAGCCTCCACTTAACTTGCAATATTCTGAAATATAATTGATAATAATTTTGATACTCTCTGATAAAATATATAAGAAAGATTATATAAATTACAATGCTGTAAAGCATGATGGCTAATTGAGATTAGAGAGTGCACTTGTGATGAGCACTGGGTGATGTATGGAAGTGTTGGATCACTATACTGTACACATGAGACTAATATAACCCTATATGTAAACTATAGTGGAATTTTAAAATTACAATATTAAAAAACAACTTTGGCAATGAATTACATTTTCAGAAATGAAGACGTTTTCATGCAAGTGCATGATGCTGTCATATAGGTGTTGATCACATTGCACTAACTTGCAGTTGGATTGAAATTATTCATACTTTAAGGCGATCAATTTAGGAAATAAGTGATGTAACCTATGTAAGAGTTGCCTAAGTATAGATGATTTGAAATGGAGTTTGAGTGGCTACACTTTTCCCAGTAGTGTTCAGCAGGAATTGTAGAATGTAAAATAGACAACAAAACATGGTTTTTGAGCTGATTTGCAAACGTGCTTTCTGGATGGGAATTGGGATGAGGATCCTAACGGAGTATGCTTTAGACGTGCTTAAGTGATAATTAAAGAAAATGAAAACTTAAGGGTCCAAACCCTCAGTAAGTTTGTGGAGGACAATTGTTTTGCTTAGTTGTTTCTTCTTTTTCCACGAAAGAAGAGTGCTTACATGGCCCCGTGGCAATCTTAATGGTGCTTCCTACTTGCTTTTTACTCTACATACATTCACTCTTTCTAATTAAAACCTAGAAATTACTTGTCTAGATTTTATATTTCTATATAAAAATCAGAATACAGGTATCCCTCCTTTTTTGTATCTGTTACACCAGTTTTCTTTTCTTTTTTAAAGATTTTATTTATTTATTTGAGAGAGACAATGAGATAGAGAGAGAGCATGAGAGGGGGTAGGGTCAGAGGTAGAAGCTGACTCCCTGCTGATCAGGGAGCCTGATGCCAGACCGATCCGGGGACTCCAGGATCATGACCTGAGCCGAAGGCAGCCGCTTAACCAACTGAGCCACCCAGGCGCCCCGCGCCAATTTGCTTTTCAAAAGACGTACTTCAGGACCGTTCATGCCAACCCAAAGAAATCTGAAAAGATTTCCACTTTCAAAAAAAATGTAAAAGGTGAAATGGTATTCAGTGTGTGTTTGGCAGCAAGCCATCAGAGAGAGAGCATGCACACAGAGCAGTGGGGGTGGAGCGTCAAGCCGCATCCCTAGGCTGACCTTAAAAGTCTCAGCATTCATGCTGCATAGCTTTGAACTCTGTGTGTGTGTGTGTGTGTGTGTGTGTGTGTGTGTGTGTGTGTGTGACCCCTGGTTACATGATTTATTTTGTATACCCATCAGTAAGATGTGTTCTAAGGTATCAAAAAAAGCTTAGGGTGCCTAGGTGGCTCAGTTAGTTAAGTGACTGCTTGCGGCTCCAACCATGATCCTGCAGTCCCGGGATCGAGTCCCGCCTGGGGCTTCTTGCTCGAGGGGAGTCTACTTCTCCCTCGGACCCTCCCCCTCTCCATGTGCTCTCTTTCTCATTCTCCCTCTCTCCAATGAATGAATAAAAATCTTTACAAAAAAAGAAAAGCCTAGGAGTGGTTATTTTTTGAGTTGGGTAATGATGAAAAACTTTTCATAAAAATTAATGGTAACTGTTTCTTCACTTCATGCACTTTCAGCTTACGGAAGATTTTATAGGAGTGCTCTACTTTCAGAGAGCAAGGGGAACCTGCATGTAGTGAAGGTATAAGAAAAAAAAAGTCTACTGGTGTGTGTTTGTGTGCACGTGTGTCTGTGTGTGTGTGTGTGTGTGTGGAAATTTTAAAGGACAACTTCTGGAAATAATCCAGGTAAATCTATATTTAGTTTTGGTAATCTATTTGGTTGTTTTAAACACAAACTAAGTGAAATTGTTGTGTTTATGCTTGTAATTGTTACATTTATTTTTTACTTTCATACACATGAACACATTTCCAGTGAAAAACCACTAATAATGAAAATATTAAATCATTGTGATGACAATGATAATGATAAAGATGGTAAAATTTACAGCTATTCTTAAGTGATAATTTATAGCCAAATAGTCACTACATTTTCACAAAGTCTTATCTCATAGATAACTTGTAATATCCCATGTTTCTTTATATCTGTTCTACATAAAATGTTCAGGCTCTAATAGTTAAATTCTTTAATCCAATCTCATATTTCTTGTAAGTAGGTGAACTAGAATTACATCTAGCTTTAAATCTAAACTATCTCCAGTGTGCTGGTAACAATGAGTCAAAATAAACCCATTCTCACTGCAAAACAGAATTTGAAGGACAGGTCCTCTTCTTTTTTTTTTTTTTTTAAAGATTTTATTTATTCATTTGACAGAGCGAGAGAGTGAGCACAAGTAGGGGGAGTGGCAGGAAGAGGGAGAGGGAGAAGCAGGCTCCTCAGTGAGTGGGGAGCCCAATGAGGGGCTCGATCCCAGGGTCCTGGGATCATGTCCTGACACTTAAGGACTGAGCCAAACAGGCACCCCTGAAGGACAGGTCTTCTAATTAGTTTCTGTCTTTGAAAAATTCTGCCTACCTAATTACGCACCGATCTACTTATGCTGATTCACCATTGTGGACTTTTAAGGAATTATATGGGTTAGAATCACACAAACATGCACCTACACGAATATTCACCGTGTGTTCCAGATCTCTTTATACTCTAACAAATATGTAGCTTTTTTAATGAAAGTATACATTGCTTGAATACTCAAGTACTATCATGAAAATTCCTAATTCACTAAAGTAATGCAAACTATGTACTCTTTGTCCCTTTAGTAGAATCTGTTACGGAAACACTTGAAAATATGAAATCTAATATAGAAATCCAGGAAAGGATTTCTTGTGCAGATTTACTCTGATCTAGAACCCACAGGGCCCTCCTCGGAGTCTATAAAAACCACTTACACTGATGTAAACTTTACATAACTGATGGTTATGCAAGATAATTATTTTGCTTTGAAAAAATAATTGTTACTGTAGGCATGCACAGTGAGGTATGATCAGCCAATTTTTAGGAACTAAGATTGACTTTATGTAGCTAATGCATTCACATCCCTCCCAGGAAAATTAATCTGGTAACCTGGATTATTGGTTTCCCAGGCTTCCAGTTGAATTAACAAAGTCACTGGGGAAGATCCAGCATTTTAGATTATTACAGGAATCTTGAGAAAAGAGAAAGGAATTCACATTTTTCTGAAACCTGGTGGAGAGTGCCTTGTGCTTTATCGGCTCTTAGAAGTCTAATCTGTGATTTCTTATAACTCTTCCAGCAAAGCCAAATTCAGGAGGCTCTTAGGTAAATCCATATCCTTTCCACACCTCTGTAAATGATCAGCCTTGTCGTATGATCAAGAATTATTTTTCTTTGAGCATAGTTTTGATCAAATCTGTAGAGCGCGTAGGGCATAAAAATCTGTGTGTCAGTGGAAAATTCTGTATTATCTAGGTCGAAAGGACATTTCCCAATTCTATCTCTAGGTCACTGCTTAGGCTTGAATAACTCACTTCATAACTCTGTGATTTTCTTTCTTTATCTTTTTAATAATGAGAAATAGTTTTTAAAATCATATGTTCTATAAATTTATGAATCAGTAAAATGGGGCTTTTTCAGTATTTAATTTTCAACTCTAAATATAAACATAGGAATAAAGGTCTGCAAACACACTGATGCATATTGACTTGAAGAGATGCAAATATGTAATTCATTTTGAACTCGGGCAGCATTTGGAAGGTTTTACACGTTATGTAGAATATGGACATCGATGATATAAATTACCTAGGAGATAATATGGGTGTGCCTTGCAAGCAAAATCTCCTAGGTAAAGACACTTTTGCACTGGGAACAGAACACAAATTGAATTTTATTTACAGCTTTTGAGAGACCATTTTTGTTAGACAATCTGTGTGACTGTCATGGGGTTAAGTGAAATTACAACAGAGCCAGTGTATCTGAGAAAAGAGAAGAACATGTCCAAAGAAGTAAACTGTAAACCCCCAAACAATATTATTTGTATTTCTAAGGAAGTTTTTGCATACACTTTTACCTTCTACTACCTACATAGAAGATCTATTTTAATAACATTAATTTATTATTTATCCTCCTTTTTCAGTTTGTCTGTGGGTGGAAAATATTGATCCACATTTATTTCAGATTCCGTACCTCAAAGTAGTTAATAGAGGTCAGGATCAAATACAATTTAATTCTGGAACATATTCTGACACATTCCAGTTATCAACTGATCTTCCTACCTTTACCTTCATACATTTATTTTCTCTTTCATGTGGGACAGGATCAAGATCCTAGGCTTGTTTCTTCTGTTCAGTGTGAAACCATCATCAGAATGTTTTCTGCTACTTCTTTCATCCCATATATTCTGTAAAGTAGATGTCAATATTGCAAAGTTTTTAGGGAAATTTTAAAAATCAATTGAAAATGACTTGTAAATAGGCTCAATATTGGTTATTATTGTTTTTCCAATGGGTAAAACCAACATAAAGGGAAAAAAATAAGTTACTTGGATTTATTTTTACCCAAGAAAAAATGCCTTCTTTACCTTGGGCCCTAAAATATTTAAGGCTGATAGGGGTCATTTAAATAATATCCCATGACAGGATGTTGGAACAGTGCAACATGAGTAATAAAAAAGTGCTCATCGGCAATACATGACATCAAATACCAGATTTCATGTGCCATTCACTATTTCCATTCTGTGCTGATTTTTTTTTTCACCTTTAGAGGTAAATAATACTAACTACCTCATTGTAAACCTCATCATAGACAGCTTTATATAAAATACATGTTTGGTAAGAGTGATCATAATTTTATTGGTAATTTCAAATTATTATATCCTTTACCTGTCAATAATTAAATTACTAATATAAATTGTATCCTATGGAAAATGGTCTAATATGTGATACATTAAATCCAAATGGCATTTATTTAAAAAAAATTGCCCTCTCACCCTTTCCTTTGCAGTTTGTCAGAGGCAACACATTATTAAAATGTTAACTGAACTGCACACATTCTGGTTCCTGTTGTAGGTTTTGTACAATAATCTTGGACTTCCAAACATGGTGTCATATCCAGGAAAACACAGTTAAATCCAGTGTGAAACTTTTGGAGTTTTGGAAAAACCCTAGGCTTTGTTTTAAAAGTTTACAGTTTTATCTCTCTATTTAGCAATTTGATGCATTTAATTTAATTTTTATATATAGCGTAAGGTCATGGTTTGATTTCACTATTTGCATGTGGATATCCAGGTTTCTCTGCACAGTGGTTTTTTGAAAAGACAGCCCCACTGAACGGTTTGGTGACTCTTGAGAAAATCACTTGACCACATATGTGAAGTATTTATTCTGAGATATCTACTTTATTGGTTTGTATTTGTGTTTATGGCATTACTACACTGTTCTTATAATAATAGTGTTTTGATTAAGTTTTTGATCAGAAAGCGTGAGTTCTCCAATTATTGCATGATTGTTTTGGCTGTCCAGGGTAACTTGAGGCTATATATTAATTCAAGGGTGTATTTCTTATTTCTGTAAAATCTTCACTTGGGATTATGATAGGCATTTCATTGAATATGCAGTTTGCTTATGGTAGGTCGGGGTGGTTGTTTATGCAGGACAAATCATCGAAACCTCCATCTGTACAATACACTAAGTATTTTATTGTTTTGGATGGTATTACAAACGTAACTTACATTTTTTAAATTTAAATTCAATTAGCCAGCATATAGAATATCATTCAGATGTAGACCTTAGTGATTTCATCAGTTGCATATAACACCCAGTGTTCATCACATCACATGCTCTCCTTAATACCCATCACCGAGTTACCCCATTCCCCCACCTACCTCCCCTCCAGCAACCTACAATTAAAAAAAAATTCTTACCACTATACATTATTTATGTATAGAAGTGATTTTGTGTATACAAATGATTTTGTATCCTGAAACTTTACTAAATTTGTTTAATAGTTCTAACATATTTTTGTAGACTCTTTAGAATTTTCTACATACAAGATCATGTTTGCAAACCAAGATAACTTTACTTCTTTATTTCCAGTTTGGATTTTGTTTTTGCCTAATTGCTCTGGCTATACTTCCAGTATGATTTATATCAGTTTAATATTTTATTCAAGTAATGTAAGAACATGATCTCAACAACCCATAAGGTAAAACAATGGTCCCATTACCCACCCCTGATCTCCAAGGAAAATATTTCATATTATTTTACCACCTTTTGTTTCTATTTTCCACCAATATTTTTATCTTTAACAAATTCTAAATACCATCTCTCTTTTTTAATTTTTTAAAGATTTTATTTGTTTATTTGAGAGAGAGAGACAGCGAGAAAGGGAACACAAGCAGGGGGAGTGGGAGAGGGAGAAGCAGGCTCTCCGCCGAGCAGGGAGCCTGATGCGGGGCTCAATCCCAGGACCCCGGGATCATGACCCGAGCTGAAGGCAGACGCTTAACAACTGAGCCATGCAGGCGCCCCTAAATATCATCTCCTGACTCATCTCTCCAGCCACGGGGGAATGGAGAAATCCCCCCCCCCAATATACAATTAACTCCAACTCATTTTTCCTTTTCCCATCCTTTCAACATAGTTACATCCCATTTTTTTGTTTAAATTCAATTAGCCAATATATAGTACATCATTGGTTTTTGATATGATGTTCAATAATTCATCAGTTCATTATAACACCCAGTGCTCATCATATCATGTGCCCTCTTTAATGCCCATCACCCAGTAACCCCAACCCCGCACCCACCTCCCTTTCCACAACCCTCAGTTTGTTTCCCAGAGTCAAGAGTCTCACATGGTTTGTCTCCCTCTCTGCTTTCTTCCCATTCACTTCCCCCACCCTTATTTTTCTCTGCACTGTTTCTTATATTCCACATATGAGTGAAACCATATGATAATTGTCTTTCTTTGATTGACTTATTTCACGTAGCATAATACCCAACAGTACCATTCATGTCATGGTAGGTATTCATCCTTTCTGATGGTTGAGTAATGTTCCATTTTATATATGGACCACACCTTCTTTATCCATTCATCTGTTGAAGGACATCTTAACTCCTCCCACAGTTTGGCTATTGTGGACATGGCTGCTATGAACATTGGGGTGCATATGGCCCTTCTTTTCACTCTATCTGTATGTTTGAGATAAATACCCACTAGTGCAATTGCTGGGTCAAAGGGTAGCTCTATTTTTAAGGACTTGAGGAACCTCTATACTATTTTCCAGAGTGGCCGTACCAGCTTGCATTCCCACCAACAGTGTAAGAGGGTTTCTCTTTCTCCACACCCTCAAAAACACTTGTGTTTTCCTGTCTTCTTAATGTTTGGCATTCTAACTGGTGTAAGGTGGTATCTCATTGTGACTTTGATTTGAATTTCCCTGAGGGCAAGTGATGTGGAGCATTTTTTCATGTGTCTCTCAACCATTTGTATGTCTTCTTTGGAGAAGTGTGTGTTCATGTCTTCTGCCCATTTCCTTATATCCCATTTTGTGTTTAGAATGGCAAGGTTGATGGTATTCTCCATCTTCTAGTATATATTGTTAGGATACCAAAAATAGAAATTGTTATAAAACCTGATATTTTAGGGGAACCTGGGTAGTACAGTCAGTTAAGTATCTGACTCGGTTTTGGCTCAGTTCCTGATCTCCCAGGCATGAGATCGAGCACCAGGTGGGTCTCTGTGATCAGTGCAGATTTGCTTGAGGTTCTCTTTCCCTCTCCCCGAATGCTTGTGCTCTCTAATAAATAAATAAATCTTTGGGGGAAAAATGATATTATAGTTACTATTTCTATATATAAATACGTTCTACTTATTTATTTCTCATTATTGCTACTATTACCTCTGTCAAGATATATTTAGGACCATATGTTTATAGGAAATATTGAGCATTTTTAGAAAATGGATTCAAGAAGATAATTAGAATTGTTAAGAAAATATCCTGCGGGGCGCCTGGGTGGCTCAGTCGGTTGAGCGACTGCCTTCAGCTCAGGTCATGATCCTGGAGTCCCGGGATGGAGTCCTACATCTGGCCCCCTGCTCAGTGGGCAGTCTGCTCATCCCTCTGAGCCTCCCCCATCTCATGCTCTCTCTCTCACACTCTCCCTCAAATAAGTAAATAAAATCTTAAAAAAAAGAAAACATCTTGCAATAAAATTTTTTTTCATTTTTTCCTGTATTCTGTTTATGCTGTTTGAATATGGTGAACCATATGTATAATTTTGAAGAACATTTTCTTTTGAGAATATTAACTCCATTATTATTTTTGTTTATGTATTTTTAAAATGACAATAAGCATACACGTATTCTTGTATATTAATCCTTGAGTTCTCCTATCTTCTCAAAACGAAGTTTTTCATGTTTTGTTGTTGTGTTTTTGTTTTTGCTTTGTTTTGTGTTTTTACTCTAGTACATTTCTTTCTTCAGGTTGTCTTTAAAACTTTGACTTAATCTTTTTTATCAGATATAAATATATATGAGTATATAGTTATATATATATATTTGCAAGAGCCTTTCATTTTATCTGACATATACTTTTATTTATCTAATGGTATTTGTGTTGTGAATTAATAACATTTCACACTTCTTTGAACATATGAAACCGACTAAAGAAAATTTTCTGCGTTTTCCTGAACATTTTGGCTCATATTTTTTTGTGTTAGTGAGAGTGTGTGACTATGTCTGTGTGTGTATGTGTGCACATATGTATGCATATTCCTGTTTCATGTGGGAGACTTCCTAAAAGCCTGGTATCATTTGGATCTAAAATAATATTTAAGACTAAAATGCTACATACTGTGTAGAGCTTGTTCACTTATGATGTCAGTGGCA